TTCCTGCTGCAAATATGAAATCTAGTTCATATATATATTTATATATTTACGTACATATGTATGTGTGCATGTGAGTGTATATGCATACAGATTAGTAATAACTTTGCATTTTCTGACTTGCCCAGAGCTGCTTACAAGCAAATTCATATCCACCCAGTGCAGCCTGGCAGTGTCTTATCCTGCTAATTCACTAAACCACTGGTTTACTTGCATATCATGGGATTTATAAATATTACTATTAAAAATGCAGATTAGCATTACCTAACTAACAACGTAAGAGCTGTATGAACATTTTTTTTCTACAACTAGCAAGGGTGTAAGTCACAGAGGTTACACAACAGTCCTGGACTGGGGTTCAGACCCATTTCTGGAGACAACGCTGTGAAAGGACTGTCCACATGGACCCATGGAGGAGAGGGCAGCTGCTGTGTCCTCTGCTCACCGGGGCAGAGCAATTGCTGCACGCTTGCCACTGAACTGTTCAGCATGGGAGGGGGATTGTTAAAAAGAAGGGAAGGTGGTGTCAGAATTAAAGGGCTTTTGCTTTAGTTTGAGTCTCCCATCCAGCATCGCAGTTAAATAGGAACAAGGGAGAAGAGTGAGGCAAAGGGCTTTCATGAAACCTGAGCAACATAAGCACGAGCAACATGAGAAGCACGAGCAACAAAAAATATCAGTTGCTTTTTTGCTTGTCAAAGATTTCCTAAGCAGAAATTCTCTCTTGAAATCAAACAAAGGAAAAAGAATACAACTTTATTCCTCTTTCATAGTAATGTGGTTTTTCCTTAGCCCTAATCAAGGTTGGCAAAGGATAACGGATGTCTTTCTCTGATGAGTAGAAATGGTTGTTTTTTTTAATGCTATGTCCACTTCTGAGACTGTGCTAGGATTGTAAAAGGTTGGTTTGTTTGCTTTCTTCCTTTCTTAATCTTTTTCTGCTAGTGGCTTATCTTTTATTTTTGATTATTAGTTTCCCTGTGATAAGAGCGGTAACATGATCTGAATGGGTAGTAACATCTGGAGACTTCTTCCTTGCTGACATGAAATCTTCACTTTAAAAAAATATAATGGATTAAAACAGTTCTTTCCAACCTACTTGCTTTCTTTTTCTTTTCTGTCTGTTCTGTCCAGAACCAAACTGTCTTATTAACTGCCCCCTGGGGACTCTAACCCTGCCTGCCTCACTGCTGTAAGTCCTTTCTACCTTGTTTCCAGAGCTTTCCGAAAGCAGTCATTTTTGAACATGTGGGTTAACAAAGGAAAATAAATGACCACAGCTCCAGCGGTATCAGCACGCATCCGACATCCCTGTGGGGTCCTTCGTATGCAACCGTCAGGAAGCGCTCAGTATAGGAGCCTATCTGCTGTCTCCTGCGGCAGCACGGGCTATGAAGAGGTCACACTTAAGCCAAAATTTGTGCTGTTGGGTTTTTTTGTTAAACTTTAAAAAGTTGGCAAAATTTAAGACCGACATAAAGGTATGCAAAAATGTTGGGGAGGGATTCAGATTTATAACAAACATTATTTATTTTTTTTTTACAAACACACAGCCCTGCGCAGGGCTTCTGGCTGCCCTGGGGCGCATTCCCTCCAGCCACAGCAGCGGCAGGAGAGGGCTGAGGAAGGGGCTCCAGCACTAGCCCATGGCTGACAGTCACCTTTGCTCATTAAGCTGTTCCCAGCCCAGTTTTGGCCAGTGGCTGGGGTTGCCACAGTGGAGGGAGGAAAGGAGCTGTGACCACCCACTCCGCCTCAGAGCCAGAAAACGGTTTTATTTATTTAGTAATATAGGCATAGCCAGGGTGGCTGGGGTCCCAGCATAGGAAATAGCTAGAAACTAAAGCTGATATCATCTTTCCCATTTTCAATGTCTGGGCTAAGAAGTGCTGCCCCTCCACCCCCACCCCCAAGCAACCACCAAACTAAACTACCCACAGGATATTAATATTTTTTTTTTGGTAGACATTTCCAGCTATGATGACTACCTGTGGTAAATGAGGAGGGGATTTCGCAAACCATTCCAGACAGTTTGCTTGTCATGGCTGGATTTCCTTAGCGCGCACCAAGGAAGTCGCTCTGCGGGGTTGGGGTGTGACTGACTCAGCAGCCACCACTGATTGAGTTTACGCCGCCAGTCACTTGTTGGCCCTGGAGCAACATCCATCGCCAGCGCAGCCCTGCCTTGTGCTGGGCATGTGTACCTCACAGATAAGACGAGCTCAACCCTGCCATTCAGTAAAAGCTGACCACCATCTGCGAGCGTGCTGGAGAGAGGCTTTTGGACTGGGAGGCAGCAGTGGAAATAAATTTTGTTATCGCCGTGCTGACTCTCATTTGAAATAAAACTAGGATAAAGCAGCCGGAAGCAAGCAGCGCTATAGAGATATCGCTTTAAGCCGCTGTTTAGAAAGAGGCGGAGACAAAACCTACAAATCTCATAGCCTCAATTCACCGTGTTGCGCTGCCTGTGAGTGTTGCTGTGCATATGGATTTCTCTTAACAAATCTGAGTCTAGTGGCGGCTTTCACAGACCATATGTTGCCCCAGGCACAATGGGACAAGGTGAAGTAAGGACACAGAGTCAATCTTCTGGTTAGCACCCATTTATATTTCAGCCTTTACTGTTGTTTTAGCAAGGGTGGGTGTGAAGTTTAGGGCGCAGAGATGGGGGGGGGCGAGGATGCAGAGAGGCAGGGGTGCAGGCCTGGGGTCTGCAGCCCCCTAACCAGCTTCTGCCATGGCTCACAGGCCTCACTCACGAGTGCCAAGGGCAGATGAGCACACCATGCCTCGAGCAGTGATGTGTGACTGTAGATCACCCTGTTGGCTGCGTATTGCCCAAAGGCACTGAGGTTCACCCCTTGCAAAGCCTTCCCCAAGTCGGACGACACACTCACTCCAAAACACGCGCCTGCACAAGCTCCGTTTCCCATACCTCAGCTCTGTGTCTTCAAAATAGATCTTTCTGTCATGTAACATTCATGTTTGGTCCTCCCACTGCAACAGGGAAGCTCAATGGCATATCACCTTGTTTGTTCACTGCCAATCACGTCATGTTACCTACTCCAGTGTTCTCCATCCCTAGTCACGTTTCTGCTTTCTCCTTTGCTTCTTACTGCATCGTTCTACTACTGCCTTGGTTTCCCTGTGCTTTGCCGTGCCAGAGCTTTTCCTTTGCACTATATCATTTCTGGTCTCTCTCTTCATTTATCACCAGTTTGCATTCTGATTTTGAGACTGATTTTTATTGAACTCTCCTGTCCTCTCCAGTGACTGCTCCTCAGTGCACACATTTCTATAGGTTGACAAACTCTTCTGATTTGCTTTTATAAATTACAAAGTATGCAATGAAATTCAGAAGTTTGGCTTTGGCATACGAGACTTGCTCCTACAATCACTCATCTTGATGTAAGGAGCATTCAGAGTGAGGCAGAAAGCCTTGCTGTGCTATCAGCAAAGTACATAAACGTTAGAAGCAATTACCACCTCAGTGCCAGGGTAAAAAATCACAACTGTACATTGTTTCTAATCACAAAGGCAGGCTACCAAGCCTGAACAGTGGAAAGCTGGTAGAGAAATTAAATTTCTTTTTTTTTTTAATTTCTGTAAATGTCGACTTTAACGTACAGTACCACTGAATCCTGTCATTCAGGCTTCAGCAGCTGGCAGTAAGGAGTGACATTCCAGAGGATGAAATCTGTAGGTAAGCCTCACCTTTAATCCAGCTGGAGATCATAACTAGTCCTGTAGTCATTATTCTGCAGCTAAGAAGTCTTTCCTGCATGTCAATCTGAACTCTGAAGCAGACAAAAGGAGTCAGTGGTTGATCTCCAGCCCACTTGCAAATGCCAAACCTGGCCCTTTTATGCCAGGTCAACACTAAGAGCAACGTGATGAATAGTGGATTTTCCTGAATTATCATGCAAAGGTACTTTTCAGCTCTTCTCTTTCTAGCACAAGGAGAATCAGCAAATGGAAGTTTGTCAGTTACTCCAGCTCATCCCAGACCTCTTTCTTTCACTCTGTCCTTACCTGCTCCATAAATCACAGGCACACATGCAGATACCTGGAGCCCACACACAGCCAGATGTTCACTGCTTGCTTTTGTCCCGCGACGTGACAGATGCTTAGCTTTAGTTTGAATTTTTTGTTTCTTAATTCTTTGCACATCTAGAAGGCTTCTAATGCAAGTCACTAACTGCTGTTTTGCTCTCTTGGCTGCAAAGGAACTACCTTGTTCTGCACTAGCCCCATCCCTCCAACCCTGCTTCTCCCGGCCAGAGAGACCAGCGAACCGGCGCCCACCGTCACGATGGGCTTCACATTCCCCTACTGCCTCACAGTCGCAGTCCACCGGAGACCTGACTTCCTCAGAGGAGAGCAGCAGCAAGGAGCCGCCGGCAGAGACCCCCAGCCAGGGAAGCGAGCCGGCCTGACTCCGCACGGGAACAGGGGGGCTGCGACTCGCCTCCACCAGGTCGCCCGCCAGCCGTCTCTGCCGCGACAGAGAGAGGTCCGCTTGGAGAGGTCAAAGAATGTTCTCAGACGCAGCTGCTGAATGTCCGACCTGGGAAACTGAGGTGTTTCTAGAATGAAACAGTTAATGTGCCTGTAATAACTTAATTTTTTTCATAGCTGAGAAAACTATTTTTGTCTCCATCTTTTCTACATACAGTATATTAACAAAAAAAAAAAAAGGGGGGGTAAAAATGATATAAAGTGAGATTTAAAATAAAATGTAAATTAAGTTTTAAGGGAATTTGAATACGTGCTCGCGCTCTCTCCAAATACTGACTGCCTTTTCGTTACATTTGCACTGTTATGTTTTTGATTTTGGTTTTGGGTTTTTGGGGTTTTTTTTTATTTCATGTAAAACTAGGGTCTTAAGTTAATTTTATTCTATTTTAATGTCAGTGTTATTGGTTTTTAAAAGTAAGGTTCTTAAAGATGCTTCAACTGTCTGAAGCGATACCTTTTAAGTAGTAAGGAAAGCCATTAAGCTAGTTCACTAGACTTGTATTAATTGAGATGGAGGGGAATACAGGTAAACACAAGAAAAAATGTAAAAAAAAAAAAGAATGCCTCAGAAAGTCTTATGGAGTTAGCTGTAAAATACACCTACAATACTTGACTTGCATGCCTCTGGGTCCTCGCACTTTAGTGCATGTACATACTGCTACTGTACTTATACCATCACATAAATGTGAGTCAATCTGTTTCACTGTAACATTGTTGTGAATTTACCTGTACTGTACTTTTATTGTTGGTATTCTTGCATTGACTATACAAAAAGAGTTTTTAAATTATTGTTAGCAGTTCAACTGGCTACGTACAGTGTTTACCGAGAACTTCCTTCGTTTTGGGAAAACCATGGAGATCTCTGGGCATACTAAATTGTAACTGGTCTTGTTTAAGAGCCTGTTGGAGACCATGTGAAGTGGAAATAAAACCCTCAATATTTACAAGCTGCTCGAGTGCTTCGTGATTATTTTTTTTTTTCTGATGGTACTTCCCGGGTTCATTTAACTGGGGGAAAAGCCCCCTAACACCTCCTTTATTCATGAAGTAAGAAGAATGCTTCTTTATATGAAATAAATCACATCAAAGCCAAACATCATGCTGTGCGCCACAGACTCCTGTGAGCACTGGATCAGGCCATGGGAAGGTTTCTAAACTCCCTCACTTAACCCTGCGAAACAGCTGTTCACACAGATACTGGGACCCGTGTTCTCAGTTCCTCTGAGGCTGTATATCTTGCTGCTTTCGGTCGTTCATGGGAGTGAAAACCAGCCAGCTAAACATAATACCAAAAATATGACATGTCCTGTGTTAATCCAAGCTTATGTCTCATCTGCATTACACACAGAGACCAATGAAACCAGGGCTTTTGTAAAACTGGTGGCTAATAATGATAAGTAAATGCAGCCGAGAATTCGTGCGCTTCCAAGAGGTGGAAGCCTCTCGAGCTACTTTGCTTGGGACCATCTGTTTGGCCACATGCTTTCTCTGGGAGCCCCAGAACTGCTCTGACTAGTTATCCCATCACTGAACTGGCTTATTCCTGTTTGATTTCCTTTGCCGAGGATTTCTGAGGCTCGTTTGTTGAAGAGCACCATCTGGGATCCCTAGAAGCCTTCCTGGTTAGCTCTGCCGAGCGATAAGCCCCTCACATCCCATCCCATCCCATCCCGCTGTGTAATGGCCAGCTTTCTAGGAAGTTTAATTCAGCTGCTGGATGATATGATAACAAACTAGCTGCTGGGTCAGCTCCCAAATACCAGGCAGTTGAGGCTTGATTTCTCCCACATCTGTTAAGACCGTGGCTATTAATCCAGTGTTAGAATGTCCACCTGTGGGTCATCATTATGAAAATTGCCATTTACCAAGATAGGCAGTGACTGAAAAGTACTATTGCACTAGCCAAAGCAACTGGTATCCAGTGCCGCTCCTCCTAATCGTATTAGGTGCTAATGGCCATGGCAGTTGTCTCAAAGCCTCTCTGCAGGCATTTTTTGTGAGCACTAAGTTGACCCCCCCCCAAGTCTGAATGCTTAAAATTCTCCATGATGGCCACCCTACTTGCTTGAAAATCTTCTTGCTGCAACACTTCGCTGAATTGTTGCAATGATTTCAGTTTAGGAGTGAAAGGGGAGCATGTGCAAGGAGTGTTTAGAGGGTCAAAAAGAGTCACAATGGTTATTGAAGAAGACTTAAGTCACAACTGAAAGATCCTTGTTTGTTTTCAAAATCTTAATTTCCAGGAGCAGCTTTGCAGTGAGAGGGGGAGGGGTTGCTGTTTCTTAAAAGCTCTTTCTCCTAGATGAAGTTCAAGTTGCAAATGAATGAGCAATGTTGAGTATCAGCAAGTAAAAATGCTGTTCTGTTTCTTGTGACAGCTGTAATATTTTTTTTTAATGATGCAGAAGAAAATTCAAGTGACTGATTTGTAGCTTTGATACCAGGAAATCATATTTGCCTTTCAAATCAAGAATACACCTGCCTGCAGAATTAGCTGCTGGCCATCCTGAAATAGGAAGGTCTGTGAGGATAAGCAGCTGCCTGTGGCTTGACAGGTGAAGTGCTTATGAAACACCAGGAATCTCTGAAACAAAAGCGAGATAGCAAGCAAGAGCAAGGAGAAGGTTAAGCACAATAGAAATTCTGTGGACGATCTTAAAAACATAATCACATTAATTAAACATAAGCTCCTTTCTAGTCTAATTATCAAATATAGCGACATCGAGAAATACCACGTATTTCTACTGGCTCTTTGGAAACACCAGAGCTTTGATAAAAACCCTGTGGGTGGGGCGGGGGGTTCCCCCCCCCCCCCCCCAGTGTTATTCCAGCATGTTCCATAATTACTTTAAAAAATCAAAAAATAAATGACGCATCTGTAGTCCATCTAAGATTATTTTAAAAGCTTCTAAGATAAAATGAAAAGCCTCTTTAGAAGGTCTGCAGGTCACTTGGCATCTGTGGGGTATCTGAATTATTGCCTCACGGATAATCAGGGCAGGAGAAGCCTTGCAGATTGCCACACAAATTAGTGTAAGGGGATGTGAATACATCTGTCACAGCTTTGCCTGATGAGGCTGAAATAGATGGATTTCACCCAGAGGTTTGTGGTGCCTGAGAAGATGGCCTTGGGACATCGCCTGGTCCTGCAACACAGCAGGGATCATGATCAGGACTGCGATCTGTGGCATCCCTCAGTACAGCCAGCTTTTTTTTTTTTTTTTTTTGGGGGGGGAAGGGGTTGCAGCACCCCAGGGTGTCATTCCTGCCACAACACTACAGTGTCCGTGTGGGCACCATGAGGGGGAAAATTTACCCTACTCCCACTTTCCTTCATGCCTCTCCACAGTCAGCCACCCCCACACACACTGCCCTCCCCTTCACACACCAAGCAGACATGGAAACATACCACTGGTAATGGTGTACAGCCTCTTAACTCACCTACCCAAGCCTCCAACGAAAGACCCAAAATAGGACAACATGGCAACACCACACCTGTGTTGTGCCTCAGTGCCTGGACAAGGACCGGGCTTGGACCATCCTTCCCTACCACCCCCTTACCCTTACATCCCCCTCTCCACAGAGGAAGTCTCTGTGCACACAGAGTACTCCAAGGCATGCATCTTCCCCCCTCCCACTTCCTTCCCGGAGTACCTGGAGCCCTCAGGCTCCCCCATCCTCTCTTGGGAGGTACCACATCTCTTGCTTGCTCCCTGTTCCCCTGTTTTGGCTCCCTTTTATGTAAATCACTGCAACCTGCTAGAGTATTATTAAGCGGCTGAGTGCATATAATTTTCATATGAAATGACAGCTAATGTCTTCAGTCTCCACACAGCCCAGCCTGCTTTCTGGAGAGGCTTAATGCCTTTAAGCAAAGTCTACTTCCCTTCCCTGTTTATTATCTTCTTATCCATCTTGCGGAAGTATGAGACATTCTGTCTTCAGGTTTGGGTAAGAGAGATTACTGCCCTGCTATAGATGTCTCTACAATAAAAAGCTAGCATTTATTGAAAAAAAAAACTTTTTTTTTTTTTTTCCTAGCAGAGCAGATTTGGGTCTTCTCTCATTATTCGTTCTTTTTTTGGTGTACAAACACCTTATGGAGGTCAATCTCTTCATCCTCTGAAAAAAATGTGAGAAACCCTGAGAGTACTTGGGGTTCCAGGCAGGATTTTGTAGCTGAGCTTAACAGGCGGCTCAGCAAAGCTAGTGCAGCCTCCCATCCTGGAGCTGGCCTGAAGAAAGGCAGTGCTTTCTATGGAGTAATTGTTTGGAGGCAAAGGTGGGGCTGGGGCTGCACAGACCCAACACAGATCCTCAGAAGTCCCAGGTTTGGCAGTGAAGTCCCTGGTTTGGCAGCCATCAGTTGTAGGTTACAGCTGCAGGAGGTCGACACGTGGGTGGCAGAAACTCTCCTCTGCCCGGGACAGGGCACTCACGTGCCTGGGTTAGTCTTGCGCAGGGTAATGGGCTGAGATCTGAGGAGACAAGGTCATAGAAAAAAAATAAATTGAAAAACAGTATACATGGCAGTTGCACACAGACAGATAGCTGAATGGGAAGAAGATAGTTTGGATATTGAGTTTTGCATGTCTTTTGATGGCAACAAGCCCGGCTGAGCAATGTAAGCGGATACTGCACTAAAAGGGAAGAGCGCTGCTAGGCTACACAATGTGAATCCTATTAAAGGCCAATAATAGCAAATTTTGTTTTGTCGTGTTAAATCCCTAGATATTTTTTTTAATGCCTTAATTGGTTTCTTTAATCCCGATAGTAAGACTTTAGAATAGGTTTACACAGAAAAATGTCATAGACCCAGGTGCTCTCCTCATCCTCCTCCCGCTGCTCTCCCCCGCTGTGGTGCCTCTGGATGAGGCTGCAGACGACAGAGCGGAGTGCAAGTGCACCGGCTCATCCC